GAATCTAGCAGCACTGAATTCTCAATAGATTATTCAACAAAGTTGATATTGTTATAAATAGAATTTTATTTATGGTGAATGTCCATATTTAGAGAGATTCTAGGGTTTATTACTTGGTGGCTAAGTCACCCTCTCCCTATAAATAGAGGGTTTTATTCCATTGTAAATCATCCCAAATCAATAAAAATTCTCTCTCTCTACTTTTCTCTGCAATATTCTTCTTCTTCTTTTATTGTTTATAACACGTTATCAGCACGAGACTCTAACCAATTGAGTAGAAGCTTTGGGATTGAGCATAATGATTTTCAATTATTCCATAAACTTCCTTCATGATTAAATTCTGGATTTAAGGTAAGTATTTTACCGTATTTTTCTCTTTTATTCTATATTTTGATTTTAAATACAAGCAAAGACAACAAAGTTTGATTATAACTCTAATGGAGTTTGTAAGAAATTATAACCACCTGAAGTGGTAAAATTTCTATGCCTCGCCATGATCAAATTCATGTATAATTGTGGGCAAAGAATTGAAAACTTGTCCCATTGAATTTGCTCCATTCTCATTCCCTTAAGAGAATGTGATAGCAGTATGTGATAAGTCTGAAAGAAGACAAAATTATTACTATGAATGTATCAATGGATATGGACGTGGCAATAGACGAAATTATAATCGTCATCATTTGTGGTAAATGAAGAAACAAATAAAAGGAAATCTCACCTTCACTTTGTGAAATTAATGTTTGTCATCGATTTGACAATGAGATTTTGTAAAGCACATATAGATGATTATGGTCCATTCATGATGTGAATATGACAACATCTGATTTATGAATACATATTCATTCTTCAAAGAATATGAACGTGCTAGTGGTAGTGAATATACCGCACTCACCTCTAAAAGGAGGTTTGAGATGATATAAGAAAATAATGTCATTATTATGGCATGAATGGTCATTGGCCACGTACCTATTGTACGCCAAAATATTTTGGCATTGTGATTGTTAAAAGACAACGGTAATGCAAGAAACAGATCTTGCATTTAATTTTGACCATAACCATAATGGTATAACTTTCTCTTTAAAAGAGATATTCACCATATGGGTGTTGATGATTATGTGGTACTACAAAATTAATTGAGAACTCTGCAAGAGTCAATTATACTATTTTGGAGAAACACAATTAATTACCAATAAGGTATTGTGTTGTAGTAAGTCTCAAAGAAACTTATTCAGTTTCCAAAGTATACGCGAAAGCGGTTGATTATATTGAGACTATAAATAAAGAAAAGATTTAATATCTTCTATTACTACAACTTGTAGCGGGGTAATATGCATGTGAAAAGCTACCCGCTTTATTCTCCAATTTGTACTACATAAACAAAAGAATACCACAATAAAGTGGATGTTTATTGATATAAAAACCCATATCATAATAAACTTGGAGTTTATTGATAATTGCACACGTCATGGTGTAAACCTGAACTTTATCGATATTGATAATGTATCCAGTTGGCATAATCAGTTTAGCCATATCAATTTAAGCATGATGTGCAAATAATGGAGAAATTCACATGAGTAAACTAGAAAGTTCTTTATGAATTCTCTTATGTTGTCTGTTCTCATTAATTAATATACCAACTAAAACTGGGATCGAATCCCATGAATTCTGGAAATATCAAAGGTGAATATAGGCCCATTCACCTGCCATGTATACCACATAAGATGCATCTATGAGATGGTTACATGTGCAATTATTAACCCCGCAACCTGGCTGGTGTGTACGAGGTAACTTGCTCAATAATTTAATTTCGAGCATAATATCCAGATTTCCTATTCAAGATAGTTTATCTTGATAAGTTGGTTTACATCACAGCTGGTTTAGAAAAAATAATTTATTGAGTGCCTCCACTTAATAGCTAAACTATGCTTTATGAGAACAAAAATTTTGTATATCAGTTTGATTACGTCATATACAAAAGTATATATTATATTTCTCCCCTCACAAAGTGGTTCAGGGTCAGGAACCAAATAATTCCATCTTATTATTATTGATGCGCGGTGTATATTTTGATTAACACCATAACGCACAAAGATGAGTTCTCAAAGTTGAGGAAACAAGTTAGTTTTTCTAACATGAGGGGGAGACAAGATAAACAGTTGAGAAAAAGTTACGTGTAATGAATTATCATGTGTACATCTACATCCTCGAATAAGATAATATGAACTTGAAGTTCATAAAAGATAATTCATCTGCAATATATTGCAATGCATGTCGGAAGCATTTGCTGACCCAAAGAAAGTAACTATATTCTCATTGCAAATGCTCTTATTAAATCCTAGAAGGACAAAGTCTATGGTACGTTTAAAGCGGAACGAGAAAAATTGAATTTGATTAATTCAACTTATAAGAATTTGGAACAATTAGAAAATTACAAAAACGAAACGATTCAGTTTGAACAGCAAAGGGCGATTAATCAAGTCCGACAACGGGTTTTCCAACAAGCCTTACGAGGAGCTCTAGGAACTCTGAGTAGTTGTTTGAACAACGAGTTACATTTACGTACCATTAGTGCCCATAAACAATCGGTTTCAAATAAACTTCTTGTTAAAGAAGATGAGCAAATGATCAAAATGATCATAATAAAGGAGGCAAGTGATCTAGAAGATCACATGACATAACACTTCATAAAATCTCAAGAGAGATTCAGGTACCTGAAAATATGAATGAAGAGATCTCTATGTTATGTCTTTATGAAAAAATATTGAAACCGATATAAAATGTTTGTCGACGACATCTATGATAGCGCTAAATATATATATATATATATATATATATGAGGATCTTAAGTCTGAAGAAACAATTCAAATAGAATTGATTTCATATGAAAGCCATGTAGTTTTGAACATGTAGTTCAAACACTTGAAAGTATAAGTCAATGGTATGTGCAATTAGTTTTCGATATCTTATATGTCTAGCATAACATGAAAACTTGATATGCATCTAAAGTCTATTATATGGCTTATATAACTTAACAATCCCTGAAGGATTTAAATTGCTTAAAGCATATAGAATTCATGGTCATGAAGTACTACATCCTCAATGCAATTTGTGCACAAATGTATCTTGCTAACTATATGCATGATAATATGATAGCAAGAGCTTTCACCTCTATGTGAAGATATTGAACTAACGATTCCAACAAGATCCTATGAAGACAATCCATCTCTATCAAGAATGATGATTTCAAGGTGCAATATATTCATTCAAGTTAATATGGCTGATCTGTTTATCAAATATCTACCAAAGATCTTTTGAAGATGGTGCACAAGATTGGAATGCAAATGCTTAAGGATTTGAAGTGATGCTCTCATGAGGGGGAGTTAATACGCGTTGTACTCTTTTTCCATTACAAGGTTTTGTCCCACTGGGTTTTCCTTGCAAGGTTTTTAACGAGGCAACCAAAAGGCGTATTATTAGATATGTGTACTCTTTTTCCTTCTCTAGAGTTTTTCTCCCACTGGGTTTTATTTTAGTTAAGGTTTTAACGAGGCACATTATCTATTGAATAGACATTCAAGGGGGAGTGTTATAAATAGAATTTTATTTATGGTGAATGTCCATATTTAGAGAGATTCTAGGGTTTATTACTTGGTGGCTAAGTCACCCTCTCCCTATAAATAGAGGGTTTTATTCCATTGTAAATCATCCCAAATTAATAAAAATTCTCTCTCTCTACTTTTCTCTGCAATATTATTCTTCTTCTTTTATTGTTTGTTACAGATATGATATAACTCATTTACTTTTAGTTTCTTTTTAATTTTCTTACCAAACTCAAACAAAATAAATAATTTGTATTCCTTTATTTCTTACCAAAACAACCCAAACAATCTATAAATCCCTCTACTTTAATTTTATTTCCATATCAGATAAAGGAAATAATCCATAAGAGTCTCACACATATCAAGAAACTATAAAATATTGTACTCCTCTCTCAATTTCTTTTTACGCATTTCGTATATTGAGCGTCAGCCTCTCAATTTTATCTCGAATTCGAACATAGAATCTTCAATTTTTTAAAAATAAAATTTATATTTTTAAGAACTACATCAAAGTATTATAAGTCACAGTAAATAATATTTCAAAATATTTACAAGGCATATGAAGAAATCGTAATTAAAGAAAAATTCGTGTAACTCTCAAAATTTGAATTTATCAATCAAATTGAGACGGAAAAAACAATAATTAATTTATAATATTATAAACTTTGATAGGAAGCCAGAAACACTGCAAATTTAACTCATAATTATAGAAGAATTTTACTGGTATCACAAAACGATAAGCTTTTGATGGTGTTTTAACATATGCAATACTGCAATAAATTTATGTCATTCGTCTATTAAATGCATAAAAAGGAGCTTTGGGGGCAAAAATAAAATTGTATTTATATGACTTATATGATACAAATTCGAGCCGCGGAATTAACCATTAATACTTGCATTAGGGTAAACTGTCTATATCATACCCATTAAGGTGCGGTCCTTCCTCGGACCCTGTACACCATGCTATCTTTTTTCGTCTATTAAAATGGATCGTTTGGTTGGGAAATAAATTATCCCATGATTAGTAATCCCGAAATTAGTTATCCCATTCTTCCATGGGGATAAAAAAAATACTACAATCCCGTTATAACTGATCCCGAAACTAGTTATATCGCGATTTTCTCAAATTTAATTCCGAAATTAATTATCGATTATCCCTCGTACCAAACATGCCCTTAATGCACAACCATTCCAAGCACACAACTTGACTCATTCAATCATACCCCAATATTCCAAAGCATAGGATTCTAGTTAAAAGACAGGCATCACAATTTACTGTTTTATCACACACACACACACATGGTGCAATATTATTCATTATCATCACATCAGCCCCCCACCCCCAAAACCCCACCCCCCCAAAACACACCTACCTCTTTGTCAATATCATATACTTTTCCAACTTGAAAAAAGTCTCTCTTTCACATTTCTTCTCCTTTTAGTTAACAAAACCTTTTCCTTTTTTGTCCGTACTATATAGACCTGTTCATCTCCAGGTTTCACTTCTCTTGCTGTTTTTATCACTCATTTTCTTGCTTTATGGAAAGCCAAGATCACAAATTTACTACCCCATCAGGTTTATATCTTCTTTTTCTCATTTGGGTTACTGAAATCTTGTTTTTTTAATTTATTTAAAGTTTTTATTTTTCATTGTATAGAGTTTCTTGATTAGGGTCTTTAAGGGTTTTGCTAAAGTACCTACATTTCTCATACTTTGTTGGGTAATTTTTGTTTTTTGTGCTAATTGCCTTTCTGTAGTATCAAGTCATGTATTCGTCAAAATCTTGACTTTTGGTCAACTTGAGTATGAGTGTGGTAAAATATGTTTAGTTTCATTTATGTTTAATTGTTCTGTGAATTTTGTTTTTGTTTTTCTTTTTTAGTTTATTGGGTGTTGGGAAATGGGGTTTTCTTTTGATTTTTGAAGATATGTGTATGTATTAATGTGTGAAATTTTGGTTAGTGATTGATTTAAATATACTTATTAAACATTTTCTGTTATTGCTCTATGAATCTTTTTAATTTTCGATGTTTAATTTCTGTTTTTTTTTGTGTGTGTGTGTTGGGAGTTGTGAAGTGGGGTTTTATTTAATCGTAAAAGCATGTACATAGATATAATCAGACATGTGTAGTTCATACTGTTCAGGGTGTAATTATTTGTAGCATTATTTCTTGTTTTTGCTCGGTTCATCTTTGTCTTGAGTCGAGGGTCTATCGGAAACAACCTCTCTACTCCCTCGGGTAGGGGTAAGGTCTGTGTAAACTGCCCTCCCCAGACCCCACTTGTGGTATTTTACTTCGTCGTTGTTGTTGTTGTTGTTGCTCAGTTAATTTTTGTACTTTCATGTATAATTTTTTGTGAAACTGAGGTTTCTTAAATTCAGGGCATGAGAATCAAGGGCTGCATTTGTGTCATAAATGCGGGTGGCCTTTTCCGAAGCCACATCCTAGTGCTAGACACAGAAGATCACACAAGAAAGTCTGTGGAAAAATTGAAGGATATAAGCTTAGTGAATCTGAAAGAGCAGATAATTCTACCCATTCGGCTGTTTCAGACGACGAGCACCACTCGGACGGGGATCAGCAAACCCCAAGTGAGTAAATCTCGAGCCTTTTGCGTGTATGTAGTTTAATTTCTCTTTTCAGCTTAATTCTTGTGTTTTATGTTGGTCATGTTTTTTTGGTTTTAGGTCCTATCGGTGGAAAGACAATTGTTAAAGAGATTAGTGGCATTAGTGACAAATCGTATAGATCAGAAGATGAAACTTACTCTGATGCGGTTACTGAGTTTTCTGATAGCGGGATTAGCCCTGGGTTGGAAGAGTGTCCGGAGGGTGTCAAAAATTTGAGTATGAATGTGAAAAGAGTTGATGATGAGTTATTGAAGGCCGATTCAATTGGAGGTATTTATGCTAGATCAATGGCTTCTCAAATGTGCTGTATCTAGTTATACTTAGCAATGTATATATTATTATGGTTTGTAAGCTTTCCTGATTTCATCCTGATTCTGTGTTTGTCGTCAAATGACCTTTCACAGAGTAGGGAAAAGACAATCTCTCATTCAGGGGAAGTTGATTCTTTATTTCTTGTCATTTTCTTTTTCCTACTTGGGGATTCATGTGGGATTGTGACGAGTAGTGCATGAAACATGTTAGACTTTGAGGATATTCGTCATAAATGATAAAACACGTATGACAACTCATGCACGACAAACTCGCTGTAAACAAGGGCAAATGAAAGCTCTCCTGAAAACAGGGCATGGGGAGTATGTGTGTCTTCAAAGAAGAACCTTTTAAGAAAATCAAATCTTTTTGATTGGAGAATATGGTTTTGGGTATAAAATAAATTCTTGAATTAACTCCACAGGAGAAGTCATATAATTAGGTGAAGTTAGTTGCAGTATTGTACAAAGAGTGGCTTTTACAAAGGACTAGATTATGAATGACTTATGTTGGAATGAGAGTTTTCTTTTTTGATAACTGTGGTGTCCGGGCCAGCTTGCACACATCTCGGCTAATTCCACGGGATGCTTGCCACCTCCCACTAGCAATAGGTACCAAGTAACTCTATCCACCAAGACTTGGATAGATGCGAAGAAATCACCTAGTGTTTTTTGCTTCCGTTGGGATTTGAACCCGAAACCTCATGGTTCTCACCCAATTCATTGACTACTAGGCCACACCCTTGGGCGTAAGTTGGAATGGGAGTCTTGGTGGGTAGAATTATATAGATAGGTCCGTTGATGTCTGCAAATAGTAGAAGCTAGATACCTCAACCGGTCAAAGTTCAAAATAATGCCATTTTAATTCTTTCCTCTAGTTAGAAGCTTGTTTCTGCATCTAACTTTCCTTTTTCGCTTGTTAGGAAATTAATTTCCTCTGCTCCTTTAGGTAATTGGTAAGCCACAATAGTTGTGTATACGAATTCGTCTGATGAATTCTAAATGAGATGGTTTACTTGTACTGATTCAACTAAAAAAAACACATTAAACACTGAAAGGGTAGTGTTAGGTAGATGTTTTTATGAGTAATTTAACTATTTTATGAACAGCTTTGCTTAATTTTTCAAAGTATTTATTTCCATTGTGTCAAGGTGGTTTAAATTAATTTTGTCGTATCGCCATGTGGCCTGTTTCTTAGGTCCTCATGAGGAGGAGTTGCTCTTGAGGAGTTGGATTTGCCCAAAATTATGTGATCAGGAAACTACCAAGACAGTGAAGGATAGGTTTAAAGCAATTTAGGTAGTACTAAAACCAACATGTTTTTACCGGACATTTTTTCCTTTATAAGCAATTTCTATTAGACTTCTCGGTGAAATTGGAAGAAACGATGATCAAGAATGGAATAATGCTAAAATGAAGATATCTTAGCCATGCCATCGTTCTCTTCTTTTTCTTTCATGCAATGAGTTTTCTTTTCTTTAGCTGAGGGTCTATCGGAAACAACCTCTCTACCCGTCCAGGATAGGGGTAAGACTGCGTATATCCTACCCTCCCCAGACCCCACTTGTGGGAATAACACTGGGTCATTATTGTTGTTGCAATGAGTTTGTCTTGTCCCTCTGTTGGGTGGGCGGTAGGGAGTGGTAGGAACTGCCGAACATCCTTTGAACTTGCTCTTTCTAATGAATGGTAATATGATGTTATGAACTCAACAGACTGAACTAGTCCTGCATTGAAATATTAGTTAAAATTTTAGGATCTTTGATTTTTTCGTTCTGCTATTTAGGTTTAGCAATCTGCCTTCACATTTGAAAGCTGCATTTTGTTCATTAATTACATGTAATGTGTTTTTTGCCAATTTGGGGTGCACTTTCATGGTTGTAGGTATTTCAGGATCCTCAAATGATGCCCGACATGCGACTGAAGTGAATAATCTCGAATCATTTGAAAGTGCAATCAATCAGGCAGAAGTAGCTGAATATTTCGGTACAAAGATTGACTGCGACCCTATTAAGTCGGAGATACCAGTGGATGCTTCTCTGCAGGAGAATAATACAACTGAATCTATTGAAGCCAAACAAGTGCAGATGTCTTCTGGGCAGCCAAGTGATTTGCAGGAGTTAGAAGATATTAATACCGGTGAAGGTTTAGTTGATGCTGTCGGTGTTGCTGTCGAAGTCTCTCAATCAGCAGTATCTGATACAGATGGAAAGACGTCAAATAATGCAAGTTATGAGTCAATACAGGAGGCAGAGGGGAAAAATTCAAACCCTTTAAACTTGCCGTCTGATTTACTTGAGGCAGATGAGCAAGCCACAGATAGTGTTCCAATTGAAGGCAAACTACAGCATGATGAGAATGAAAATCCTGATTCTGTGGACTTGAAACTGGACTTGTCTGAAGCTGATGTTAAAGCTATGGATGATGTGAGCGGAGATAAGGAGTGCGAGCAACTCGATAAGGTGGAGGAGGACAAAGCAAGAATCTCCGATCAACTTTTAGATGGTCGTAGTCAAACGGAGTTTTCTGATGCATCTAAAACTGAGGAAGCGAGGGAAGATGTGCATGTGGTGTCGTTGGCAAAAGATTTACCTACATCAGACAACCCTGAACTCTTGCTTAAAGACTTCAAAGCCTACAATAAGTTCAAATCTAGTTTGCCATTGGATCTTGGCTCTTCTGAACCTGAACCTCTTTCTACTGATGGCGACCCTTCAAAGAATTCGCTTCCTTCAGGTTTCCCAACCGACCACTCAAACGGAGTTTATGGTGGTAGTCAAACGGAGTTTTCTGATGCATCTAAAACTGAGGAAGCGAGGGAAGATGTGCATGTGGTGTCGTTGGCAAAAGATTTACCTGCATCAGACAACGCTGAACTCTTGCTTAAAGACTTCAAAGACTACAATAAGTTCAAATCTAGTTTGCCATTGGATCTTGGCTCTTCTGAACCTGAACCTCTTTCTACTGATGGCGACCCTTCAAAGAATTCACTTCCTTCAGGTTCCCCAACCGACCACTCAGATATGAACACCATTACTTCATCTGTTCAGGAAGAAGCCAGGCAAACAACAAAAGTTGATGATCCTGTAATTGAAAGGACAGAAACAATTTTTAGCATGGAAGAAGAGAACAAGGGTGGAAATCCAGAAAATGAGCTTCTTGCAAACAAGGAAACAACCGTTGTAGACACTTCTTGTTTATCTGCTAATCAAACTATGGTCACCCATGACGAACATGAAAAGGCTAGAACTGAACAGCCAATTGGTGAAACGGCGAAAGAAAGAATTGAGGAAAAGCTAGAAGGAGTTTTTGAAGTTGATAAAACTATCTGCCTTGTTGGAGGACATAACGACCGTGCTATACTTACAGGCACGACTGTGCATGAAAGCAGAGATGAAATTTTAGACAGCACAGTTAGCAACAATGCCAAAGTGTTGGAGCCTGCCAGTGCAACTGAATTGGATTCCAAAATAATCGGTGATTGTGATGTGAAAGAGCCAGCTGGTTTGCTTGTCGATACTGATTTGGACGGTCGCGTTGTTGATAACTCCCATGCAGGAGATGGCGTTAAGAATGCCACTGGGGTCATTTCATCAGCCTCACTGAATGAGGGTAATGACAAGCTCATTAAACAGAACGACACGGTTTCTGCAGTGGATATATCAACGAATTCGAGCAGCAGAGCCGATAGCCTGGATGCCAACTGGGGTTCTGTTTCAGGTATAATCACTTCTGTTTTCTTTGTAGATTCATTAAACCAGCTTATTGGAAGTCAATTTTTTGTTGCTTTTTGTTATTGAAAATGTATTTTCCTCCAATCTAATACATTCTGCTATTTGTGATAAAACAGTGCTTTCCACCCAGTCCGAGTCCACAGCTGTTCCTGATGCCGAAGCAACTGATACTTGCGAGAAATCGGAGCGTGACTTGCAGAAACCAACTTCTGGAGTTGAGGAGCGGTATCCTGATAAGTCAGATGTTTACGAGCCTCCGTCTTTCATGACATTGGTTGAATCTGGAGAAAATGCCGACAAGAAAGCTTCTGCTCCCGAGATTGAAGCACAGCTTATCGCTCAACAGCCAAAAACAGAAGCTTTGAAAGCAGGGTGGTTCCCTTCTATTACCAACGTGGTGAATGAATCTCAAGGGAGAAAGAAGAATGAGGAGATAATTGCAAAAGTAACAAACTGGAGTACAGGGAAGCAACACACTCCATTGAAAAATCTACTTGGTGAAGCCAAATCTCCAAACACAAAACAAGTGCCTTCAGTTAACCAGAAAGATGAAACTGCTGCCACTAAGAAGAATGGGGCTACAACCGTGACGACAGTGAACTCAATTCTGAGCTCGGAGGCACCAACTGAGCAGGCTGCCGCAAGTAAGGAGGCGGAGAAAGAATGGAATTCTCCCGCGAGGTATCCAGTTGACATTAAGAAGGAAAAGAGAAAGACGAAACCGTATTGGGTACCATTTGTTTGCTGCTCTTCAGTACATCAAGACGCATAGTTTTCTTTGTTCTTTTTCTTGAACTCATCGTGTATTGTACGTAAATTCGGCTATGCACTTCTCTCTTGTTATGTGCTGTCAACTCCTCAGACATTATTGATTCAACTGCAGGAGTTTGTGTAGCTTCTCAGTCATATCTTTGGTTCTACAATGTATATTTGGATGTTAAGATGCTTAGGTTTCTCCTGCATGCAGTTTAATCTTTTGCTTCATATGATATACCATAGCATTCTGTATTATTATGGCAGGAAAAAATACACTCCTTTTTCGTTTTCTTTATAGACGAAACACGAGCCGAGGGTCTAGCGGAAACAGTCTCTCTACCTTCTAAATGTAGCGGTAAGGTCTGCGTGGACACTACCTTTCCCAGACTTCACTTGTGGGATTATATAGGCTTGTTGTTGATCTTGTTGTTGTTTATAAACGAAACACCTACTTCCTATGTGGAGCTACATGGAAAATCTTATTAAAGGAAATTAGTGGAAAACAGTTATCCACCCATATTATCCATTAAAAAATAGCTTGGATAATGAACTTTTTAAAAACGGGTCAAATATGGATAAAAATTATATTATCCGCTTAAAAAATGAATAACCATGGATAACTAATGAGTTTAACTTTTATATTTGTAAAGTCTCAGATTGGGGGTTTCTCAAGTTTGGGAGCCTAGGAATTCTCCCAAAAGTGATCATATTCAAAGTGTCATGGATAATATGGGCTTCCATACTATCCGCCGGTTAACTCGTTTTTTATCCGTATTAAATATGAGTTTGGTCAGATAATTTATCCTTCTTTGTATTACCCGTTTTCGACCCCCCAATATCCGCCCCACCCTGCCCGTTTGCCACCCCTAAAGAAAATGAACTTAAAAGGGAAGCATTTGCCGGTGTAGACATAGATGTGATAGTAACAAACAACATAGATAACATAGATGTGATAGTAACAAACAAGATAGGAAAGCACGTAGCAGCACGGCGTGCGGGTGCAATCCGCACGCCGCTGCTAGTTCCTCATTGTCCATCATAAAATACACCATTTACAGTTTAGAATTAAAGGTGTTTCTTTTATTTTCGCCCTAATTTCACAACCTTAAACAGAAAGAAAGTGCAAAAACTCATATATGACTAAGGTCTACAGATAATTTTTAGGGACAAGGCAAAGGGCATTTTTCTTGTGCATAGTTACTCCAGGCAAAACATCAGTGTCAATGTCTTCTTTCTTCATCTCACATGGCAATTCCCAATCAAATGCATAAAGAAGATTTGAAAGTATAAGCTCCACAGTTGCAACACCAAGTGCAATACCTGCAAAGACGAATTCAAGATTTAAATTTTATAAATTCAAGATTCTGAACTCTTTAAAAATATGGGTTGAAAACATGCTATTTAAATAAATTTCTATTACTTTTAACATTTACATGCATAAAAATAATCCCTTAAATTATACAATCCGACAATAAATACCTGGGCAACCTCTCCTACCCGCTCCAAATGGAATAAACTCAAAATCTTGGCCCTTGTAATCGATATTGCTATTCAAGAATCTCTCGGGTATAAATTCTTCTGGATTTTCCCAGTATTCAGGATCCCTCGCGATAGCCCAATAATTAACGTAAATAATAGTCTTTGGTGGAATTTTATACCCTTCTAGTATGGAATTTTGAATTGTTTCTCTTGCCACAAGAGTTGGAGCTGGAGGATATAATCTAAATGTCTCCTTTATCACTGCTTTAAGATAGTGGAAATTTTGTATATCATCTTCATTTACCATTCCTTTCTTTCCAACTGATTTTCTTATTTCTTCTTGGACTTTCGTCATGGCTTTCGGGTTCATTATCAAGGCTGTCATTGTCCAAACTAATGATATCGCGACAGTGTCTGTTCCAGCAACAAATATATTCTACAAAAAATAAAATTGAGAGGAAAAAAATGAGTATATATATCACTTCATTAGAAATATAGATAAGTAGTTGTGTATGCATGTATGCACATACAGTCAAACCTCTCTATAATAGCCTCGTTTTGTTCCGATATTTTTTGGCTTTTATAGTGAAGTGCTATTATAGAGAACATATATTATAACATAACATAATAATCTGTTCCTAGAAAACTTTGCTTTTATAGTGAATGGATGTAATATAGAAATGCTGTTATAGAGAGGTCTGTCTGTGATTATGTATGAGTTTAATTTAGGTAAACCGATGTTTTACACCATCACGTTAAATTAATCTGCAACGTAATATAAGGTAATAAAGATAATAATCAATTAAATAGTAGATTAATGATGTAAATTTTTTTTATGCGACGTTTTACACCATCACGTTAAATTAATCTGCAGCGTATAAGGTAATAAAGAATATAAGCAATTAAATAGTAGATTAATGACGTAAAAATTCTTTATAATGTGAGCGTATATATTTAGACAAAAATGATCACTTACCATGAGAATTGCCTTTATATTGTCCAAAGTGATGTTGATTGGAGTTGAATTCTCTTTCTTTAATTGGAGCAAAAGATCAAGAATATCTCCTTCCATTGATTTTGGCCTATTGGGATTGAGATGTTGCTCAATAAGTCCTTCATAAAACTCATCCAACTCTTTGAAATTTTTCTCAAGTCTACTTATTTTTCCAGAAATTTTATCAAACCAAAATAAAAAAGGAAAATAATCAGAGAAAAAAAACCCTGCCAACAATGCTTGTGTCTCTGTCAAAAGTTCATCAAATTTCCTCCTTTCTTGTGCTTCTTCATCATATCTAATACCAAAAGCAACTCTACAAATAATTGTACTAGTTATTGAAACCAAAATACTACTCAAATTGGTAATTTGTGAATTTTTAGCTTGTTTTGATATTTTTTTAATCATTCTTGAAACTTCATCTTCGCGAATCGGACTAAAAGAATGAACTTTTTTGCTACTAAATAGATGAACAATACATATCTTTCTCATTTCTCTCCAATAATCACTATAAGGTGCAAGTGCAATATCATGACTATTATAAGATAATTTTTGTTGGCATAAAATAGAAGGTCTACTACAAAATGCTAAATCTTGTGTTTTTGTTACCTCTTTTGCTAATTTTGCTGAAGAAACTACTACCACATTAGTAGAAGCATGTTTTAATGAGAAGATTTTTCCATATTTTTCGGAAAGTTTCCAAAAATAGATATGAGGGGTTATACTATCATATTGATGCAAATTTCCAATATATGGTAAACCTAAAGGACCTGGTGGTAGAATAATATTTCTACTTATTTTGGCTTTGGGAAGAAGAAAAAAGAGAATGATAGCAAGAGATACTAAGAGTAGAAAGGGTATCATTTTGTTGTGTCACTTCCAAATACTAACTTCAAATGTCTTCTATAAATAGATCTTAGCATTAAAATGTAGGGATATATATATATATATATATATATATATATATATATATATATATCTTGAAGCTAATGATTAGATATGCAATGACCTCACATAGTCTAATAAACACATCATGTGTTTTATGTACTAAATTCAATTAATATTACCAAAATGGATAAAAATGAATTCGATTACTCAATTAAAACAAGCTATGTAATATAATTATACTATATAGGGAAAATGGTGTTATAATGTCAAATGGAATGGGAGGTTTAAGTGATTAATTAGCCTAAGCAATCAAAGTAGATAAGCCTTCAAGTGGTATTCAATTTTTTTTTTTTTTTGCAATTTTAGCCGTGGCTTATATAGGTTAATCTACGGAGGGCCACCACTGAAAGAGTCATTTTTTTTTAGCTTAGCCCAAAACAATATATAAATGTATATGGTGGATGGTTCAAGAGAGTTACTTAACTTGGGGAATAGAATAGCGAGACTTCAAAAGAACATTCACACTTTGATTTGTGAGCAATTTTACGAGAATATTGTAAAAGGAAGAAATGATGTATGTTCGTACACTTTTCGAAATAATAGAAATATAGTCCAGTATCGCAAAGATGATAAAGACTTATTGGAGATCTCTGCAGAAACGATACAGAAACCTTATGATCATGTTAGATATCTATTCCTTGATTGGTGAAATAGTATCTTTCCTCGAAAAATATATTTATTATATTAAAGATTGTCGATATGTAAATGTACAATGTATATGGTGGATGGTTCAAGAGAGTTACTAACTTAGGAAATAGAATAACGAAACTTCAAAAGAACATTCGGACTTTGATTCGTGAACAACTTAATGAGAATATTGTAAAAGGAGGAAATGACGTCTGACCGTACACTTTCTGGAAATAAAGTCCAGTGTCGCGAAGATGATAATGACTTACGACTTGGAGATCTCAGCAAAAACGGATACGGAAGCCTCTCATGTCATGTCAGATATCTATTCATTGTAAAATAGTATATTTTCCTCAAAAAACATATTTATTGCGAATGAACAAGATACTAAAAATTATCTATATGTAAAATCAGAATTATTAATACGACCATTAAATTTCTATTTTCTCCTCCCTACTCTTCCCCCAACCTTTACCTGTAAGGAACCAATTACTTGCGTAATCACGAGAACATTATGAAAGGGGCAAATGACAGTCTGTCCGTACACTTTTCGTAAATAACATAAATATAGTTTAGTATCGCGAAGATAATAATGACTTACGATATGGAGATCTCTGCAGAAACTGATACGAAAACCTATGATCATGTTAGATACCTATTTCTTGATTGGTGAAATAGTATTTTTTCCTAAGAAAATAAATTTATTGCGAATGAACAAGATATTAAAATTGTTGATAAGTAAAATCAATATTATTAATACGACTAGTAAATTTCTCTTTGCTCCTCCCTACTCTTCCCCCACCCTTAACCTGTAAGGAACCAATTACTTGCGTAATCACGAGAATATTGTGAAAGGGGAAAATGACGTCTGTCCGTACACTTTTCGAAAATAACAAAAATATAGTCCAGTATTGCGAAGATGACAATGACTTACGATCTGGAGATCTTAGCGAAAACGGATACAGAAACCTCTCATGTCAGATATCTATTCCTTGATTGGTAAAATAGTATATTTTCCTCAAAAAACGTATTTTATTGCGAATGAACAAGACATTAAAAATTGTCGATAAGTAAAATCAAAATTATTAATACGACCAATAAATTTCTCTTTTCTCCTCCCTACTCTTCCCCCACCCTTAACCTTTAAGGAACCCAATTTTTCTCCCTTCTTTTTCTATAGTCGGTTTCAAGAAGAGACAATCTTATACAAAGATCAGATTCTGCTGAGTTCATGCAAGTATGATGCATGACTGCACATCATGTAGCTTTAGGTGTCTCTGAAAAGCCAACTTCTCTCTCTATTTCTGCACCTAATTTGTCCGAAAGGATGAATGAATTAATGGTATGTTTGGTATGACGGAAAATATCTTTCAATTTAAGAAGTTGGTTTTCGAACATGTGTCATTTTCTAGTATTTCGCTGCTCGAAATTTCCCAAAAAAAAAAAAAAAAATAGGGAAAATAATAATGTCTATTTTGGTCGAAAGTTATTTTTCTTATTACAATGATCTTTAACTCCTTAACTTCTTATTATTGTTCGAACACACTTAAACATTATGGTCAATCTTTAATACTCAATATTTTGATCAAAATACACTATCCAACTTTCTAATATTATTTATCAATTCTTAATAAATTTTTTGTGTGTGTCCACGTGTTTGACGAAAGAATTGCAAATTTAGACACTCATCAATTGTGTGCTACCTCCATTCTATATTTAGGTTAATTAGATGAGTCTGAATTGTTTGCACTAACTTTCCATTATAGGAACACTTTTGCAAACGTCCTCGAACTTGGATTGATCATCTATATATAGAAAATATACGTATGTCATAATATACTACTGCATGCATAGTAAAGCCAAAGCATTTAAACAAAATTCTTTCTTCAACTTAAAGATAATAATGCAGACATTTGTGAAGTTGATATATTTCAATCACATTTTTTTTAATGGAAAAATATTCCGTGAGAGTTTTGCGCGCTCAGGGAAAGGTATATACGCTTCCGGATATAGAACACATAGGGTCTATGGCTCTATGCGCGAGCCCAAGAAGGCGCAGAATGCGCGCATGGCGTCGTGACACCCTGAAGTTGCTGAAAACTTTAGGCATGCGCGCAGGTTAGGCTAGGCCTTCAGAGCGCGCATGGCTACATACCCAATATGTGATTTGGCTCATTTTTCTCATCTTTCACGCCTAGGGCATGACTCCAAAAATTCCTTTGGCCACTCCAATCGTTGAGAGCACTCAAATGAGGCTTAGTGAAAAACTAAAAAGAATAAATTCAAGTTAAGTTAGTCTAGGGGTAATCCAGCTATAAATGAAAGAGTAAAGCACATTATCTTCGTTACACTTCCAATTAGATGTGTAAGGCACAGTGAGATTTGCCATTCCTCTTAGAGATCAATTGAAAAAGAAAATCAAGAGTACTTAGTACTTGGTCCCAGATAGATAGAAGCTCCCAATGAACTGCCCAACTAGGCACGATCGCAGACAGACACAAATGGGGCGTTAAATCTGGCTTCAACCGAGCATAGTCAATTTCACCCTATTAAAATTGGTATTAACATGGGATTACCCATTCTTCTCCAAAATCTTCAAGATTTGTCAAGAACTCTCAATTGGAGATTTTCAAGATTTGATTCTGTTTAAAGTAATTTAACCTACTCTATTACATATATTCACGAATGTTTATAACATTTATATATGGTGCTATTAAATTGAGTTAGTGGTTGAGGGTTGAACTTGATAAACCCTAATTCTCCATTAAAGAAGTTAGTTAAAGGAATTGGGGAAGAGATGGAATATGCTATTAGATGATTATTACTCCTTCCGGTTCACTTTAACTGACTTTTAGCATTTTTTTTAGTCCATAATATTTAATTTTTTTCAGATATCAAGAAGGAATTAACTTCTTTTTTCCGAAGTTTCCCTTCGAGTAAAGAACCTGGAAGTATTTATTATATTTTCCAACGAATAAATTAAGGTTAATATGGTCAATTTCATTGTTAATTAAAGCTACTAGGTGAATTTCTTAATATGTGTAAAAACAACCAAAAAATCAATTAAAATTGGACCGGAGGGATTATTATTAATCTATATATATATATATATATATAAAGTTGGGATTAACATAGATGATGTGGCATGCGTCTAAAGCCAACAAATCTATTTTTCTTTTATCTCCTTTTTTTGGCATTTTACTCTCATTTTTTCCTACATTTACGTTATTCTTTTAAGAAGTCTAGCTGTCATTAGTTAACAGTTCTGGCAACCTTTTGCAAGCTAAGTAAATGGAATGTTTTAATTTGTAATATACTTTACTCCTTCAGTTACGAAACTTTCAATTTCCAAGCATTAATTCACTTGGACGTTTTCTATAGCCAAGAGCAAATTTAATAGAAAAAAGCAGCATGATGGGATGGACATGATGGGTGCATTCTAAAAGAGGCTGCCGGAAAACCTGCCCGGCTTTTGGAGGTGTTGAGATACAATGAAGGTAAATTAAATATACCACATGAATTACTTTCTTAAATATTTTTTACAAGTTTCCAAAATCTCAATAACGTCATAGTCGGCAACTAATGTATCTATAAATTGTGATAACGACTTTATATATGTGGTTATTATCACTATTGGTGTTGTTTTTAGAAGTATTGGAATGTACTCTTTCTCTTCTACCAATCATGCTTATCTACTATCAACTGCAAGATTAAAAGATGTGATGGGCTCACCAAGAGGATTATTTTTTTTTTTTTCCTTTCTCAGGTTTGAGTTGAGATGCTTTGGGCCATTTTTGTTTTGGATGAATTCTCAGGTAAGTTTTCTGTCCGTATCCCTCTTCTTTGGTCGGATACTTGTACTAAATTAATTTGGTGGTATTTTACCCTACTGTTATCTAAAGTGGGTGATAATTGCAGTTTTTGCTCCTACATGCTGGCTTTTGAATCATCCACATAAAGGTCATATTCTAATGGTTCCTCCGAAATTGTCATTGATCTTTCGGCAAAGTCGAATCTATGTTTAATGCCAAATTAGCAATTTGTATTCTCTAATATGTTTTTGTTTCATAATTGTCTCTGAGTTTACAGGTCTGCTACTCTTTCCCCAAGTCATCAACGATTCACTCTTTAACAGCTATCTTTTAGTGTCTTTATCGTTTATCACTTTCTCCCTTTATTGGATAACCGAGCCTATTTATTAAACCATTGGACATGTAAGACATAATTTTTCTAAATGAAATAGAAAATGTCAAAGAAAAGAAATTTGTACTTTCGGATTATCCAGTTGTAAACTACTTGGCAAAGTTGTGGAGAGTGCTTGAGTTGATTAAAGAATTCCTCGAGCAAAATCAGTTCAAAAATATTATCAAAAGAGGAAGAAACAACATTTTCTTTTGGTATAGTGCTTGGCGTGTACACTGCATGCAGCTAATGCTGGGGAAAGTGATGAGAGATTTCCCCTATATATATGTGTGTGTATGCACATAAACACAAATTGAGTTCAATGAAAGCCAATATATTTCACTTTTATTAATTATTTAAATTTTTAACTAAGTTTCCAAAGATGAGTTATAGACGATTTTTAATGCTTTTAACGTTCTTTTTGTTGTTTCGTGCAATAAATATAACCTAGATCTTATATATATTTTCACTAAAAATATTAAAAACATGAATTAAAGGAAAATCGTACACTTGAGATAGACTCTGAAAATAAAAACTATAAACCGCAAATTCTCTTTTCCAATTGAGAACACGAGAGAATATATCACTACGGAGTAAAAAAAAGTATGGGATGATTCGATTTCAATTTATTTTTCATATGTATTTTTTCCTTGTATCTTCGCTTTTAAAATATTCATATGTATATCTTATCTTATATATTTGTCATTTTTACTTTTTTGTACACATCGTACTTAGAAGAAGTTTTAATAATCGCGCGAAGCGCGAACAAATTTACTAGTTGGTTAATAATGATGGTTTAAACCCGTTAAAACTGCGCGTAATGTCATGGTTGCATATGAATTAATTCCTGCCGTCCATATAATTAAGTCGTCCTTAAAATGCAATCATTTAGGGTTCATGTGTTTGTTATTAAAAATTAAATGGAACGGTTTAATACAAGATCTATGAGATATATGTTATGTCATAACTAGAAAAAGAAAGTGACTATCATCTTTCTGCTCTTAGTCTTAGTAACCCTTCCTATATATTGTACTCCATTTCCTATTTCTCCTAGCCAAAAATTAATATGATAGTTTAGCCCCTCATTCTATGTATTAGACTCTGTTATCAACTTGTCGTAGAGGTAACTATGGCAAAGCAATCTCCATATAAAGAAGAAGAGTTTAAAATTTAAACGTAAGATTCTTGTTTATGCCGAATTTTCTTATTAGTAAATTTGACATTTTCAAATATCTGTTTGTTTATACATTTTAACTATTATTTGGCAGATTTTGAAAACAAAATCTTTAAATTTAAAGAACAACTCTAGAGTAGTTTTTGAAGTTTTTTTGAGTTTTCTACTCATAAAACTTCAAATTCCTTTCAAGTAAAATGCATATCCAAATACAATTTCAACTTTCAAAAACTATTTTTCAACCATCTCTTTAAAAACTTATTTTTTTCAAGTTTCAACCAAATCTATGTCCAAATGCCAGCTTAATCTTTTCCTATAAGTATTCCAAAGAACTTAACAGTAGAGAACTCTCCTATGTGCGAGTGGGAATTTGAATACTATTATTGGGCGAAACAAACGGCCAGCAATTTGATTTAAGTAATTTAAAAAAATACTCTACGTGTCGTAAGAGAGTTTAATAGGCTATGGAATTAAGGACTTCATTGGTTTTGTGAGAATTCTTAATTAAAACAATTAATTCAAGTTGTACTTTCGCTTCTACGAGGAAAGATCCATAATTCATCTAACCTAGGATTTGCATGAAATCATTCCGAAAAGATCGTGAATTATTTTACATTAATAATGTTATCTATACATTCCGAAAACCGTGGCTTGTCCCGGCCTTTTGCAACCTCTGCCCATTCCCTCACGAGCATGGGAGCACATAGCCATGGATTTCATTAGTGGTTTACCCAAATCACATGGTAAAGACTCAATCTTTGTAGTCATTGATCGATATCCTAAGTATGCCCATTTTTTCGCTCTTACCCACCCATACACGACCCCTCAAATTGCCCAACTTTTCCTTGATAATGTCTGAAAACTACATGGCATTCCCAGTTTCATTGTGTCAGATAGAGATCCCATCTTCATGAGCAATTTCTGGCGGGAGTTGTTTAAAGATTACAGGTGCAATTGAAGCCAAGCTCTGCTTATCATTAAAAGTACAAGGGGGTGGGGTGGGGGGGGGGGTGGGGGTGGGGGTTGAACTGTTGACTAATTAAAATTTGGTCGATTAATATAAATATTAGTTGACTAACCACAAGACAGAAAGACTGAAAGCAGTAAAGAGAAATAGTAAGACACACACGATTTATACTGGTTCGGTACCGTTGTGGTACTTACATCCAGTTTCCTTGGGTCACAAGGGTTCTCTTTAAGATCTTTAGAACAAAGTTACAATATTGATGGTTTTTCTTGCGTTTACCACCAACGTACAATATCAGCACTTGAGTTCTAATCAGTTGACACAACTTTCTTTCGTACTCTAGATCTCTCTATCTTTTGAGACACTGATAACTTAGAATTATAGTGTTTGAACTAAGAAGTAGACAGATTTGGAATACAGTTTGTGTAGTTGCGTGGTCTTCTTCTTGAGAGATCAGCCTTCTTATAGAGGAGAAGAGAGCCGTTGAGTTCTTTTTGAAACTTGAGGCACGAGATCTTTAATAAAGGGTTTTGACCCAAGGGATGCCTCTTCAAATCTTGCTCTTTGACTGCCAGATTCGAATGTGACCTTCCTTGTCACAGCTGAATTCAAGGAGAGATTAATTTGCAAGCGCGATCTTCTATGATTGGCAGTCTGAGTTCCCTTGATTTGAGGACGAGTTAATCTGCTTCTTGATTGATCATTAATGCAGCAACGGGATCTTCATTCTTTCCTCATTTTGAATCCAGTAGCAATCTTGCTTAGCATCTTCATTCTTTCCTTTTTGTTTGCCCTGTAAATATAACATAAGATATAACATAAGATAATATTGTCATCATTGAAACTTAAACATAACTCTATCAATCTCCCTCTTTTTGATGATGACAATCAAGAGGGAGTAAACAAATTAAAGTAAATTAAGATACTTCTCTTTTAAGGAGTTGCTCCCCCTGAGCTAGTGCTCCCCTTGAGATTCAATGCTGTGCCCATTTCTTCCCCTGAGTGTTTACTCACACGTCTCCCCCTTTGACATCAATCAAAAAGGAAAGAGTAATATAATATACAGAAACACAATGCAATATAATGTCCATATTAATAGGGGTTAGAGCAGTAGAGCTTTCAGTAAAGGCTTAAGTTAGTACAGACCACAAAATAACTGTCTAAAGGCCACCATCAAAAACAGCAGAAGAAACATAAGTTGTTTTTCACAACAGCACAACTAGAGATGATTAATGACGTCCTAGAAAGTATTTGAGGGTGTTGATCACTTTGGTGTAGAAGGAGTCATAGGAGTTATCAATATCCTTGACTAGCTTGTCCATCCTTTCAGTCATGGAATTGAAGGCCCTAGTTCCATGTCTCCTTGTAGCTCCTATGTCCATCCGAAGCTTGGCTACGTCTGAACCTGTCTCCTTAGTGACATCTCTGATCTTATCTACCTATTCTTTCATTTCCACAAGTAGCAATTTGACTCCATCAAGGTGTTTTTGAATGTGTTGAAGGTTCGGAGAGGTAGTCGACTGAGGGACTAGTTGATCAGCTTGAACATCAACTGGAGCTGGAATACTTTCAACTTTGGCTCGCTTAACCCATCCACTTTTCCCAATGAGTATCCCATCATAGAAAATGCAGTTTTATCATAAGTACTGGAGATGTGCTTGGGTGTGAAAGGTGCCAAGTCTACCCTCATAACTTCCAGTATATGAGAGATAAGAATACCATAGGGAAGACAAGTAGTCGAAGAGGAAATATCCCTGATACTGTCAAGCATATATTGACGAATCCATACAAACCAATCAAGACGCTTGTTGTTGACCAGACAATAGAGGACAAAGATATCTCTAGTGGACAAAGAACTTAGGGACCCAGACCTGGGAAGAAGAGTGGTGGCAATCATGTGGGCCAAAACACGGTGTTCAAACTTCAGATTTTTGGGGCCAATGTCAGGGGGGTTATCAGACAAGAAAACTTTTGCTTCTTCAGAAGACACTTCAAAGTCTTTGGGCCAAGAATTTTGGACAAACACATCATACCCACTAAATTTGGCAGAAAAAATCTTTTCAAATTGGTAGGAGTCCAACATGATTCTAATTCCCAAGACCATAGATTCTAAGTCATCCTTATCATTCACAAACAGATTTGCATAAAACATTCTCACAGGTTCTTCATACACAGAATTTCCAAGAGTGTCAAACAGAGGGGAAAGGTGCTGAAAATAAAAAATTGCAGTCACATCACAATGAAGACTTTGCATAAGAGAGAGACTTACAAAGCGTCCATAAGCCATGGATTTTGACTTATAGGACTCAAACCTTGCCTTTTCACTGGGGCCATAGAAGATCATCTTGTCTTCTGGACCAAAATCCAAGTGGTTCTACCTTGCCCTTTTTGCATGCAGCCTTTTTGGAGGTTTGCTCCATGGGTCCTTTTCCGCCCTTTTTCTGGTTGATGGGGTGATTTTCGATGAGGCACCGCTATCATTGTCAGTTTTGAGAAAGTTTGAGTCAACGGATGATTCTACATCCACAGGTTTTTCTGTATTGAGAGGTTTTTGAAACCTACGGCTTTGTCTGGTTGCAGAGGAAGGGTTTCTTTTAGCCATGGAGGAATTGGTGGTTTGGTAGAGAATGAGAAATGTATTTGGAAGTGGAAGGTTTTTTAACAAGAGATTTGGGATAAGTGAAAGGGCGTCTTGGTTATTGGAAGGGTCAAGTACAGATGGAGGTGATGGTTCTGAATGACT